AATGAAAAATAATTTAATATATTGCACGAAACGTTGGTAAAAATGTTGTGAAATACCACAACAGGTTGTTCAAATTACCTTTACGACAGTTATTCATAATAACAACAAAATTATGTATGATCCATCCAGAATAGTTCTTATAGAGATTAAATGTAATTAGTTTACAGCACACGCTTTTCCAATCAGTTTATTTGTTCGAAAATTTGAATAAGAGGCAAAAGTTGCTGCCAAACGCAATGTCTTGGATAAGTGTTTGGTAAAAATTTCCCTAGAACTACGCTATATACAAAATCGAATCAAACAAATTAAATGATATACTATTTGTACAATGAAACCTCGATAACAAGACTTTCGATAGCAAGTAACTGTTGATTACACGTCTTATTTAATAATTCCCATTAGATTCTTCTTATCACGGCCCTACTGTATTTTTTATTAGGGATTGGGCCTCGCCGGCAAGTTTTGTAAACAGTTATCTTATGAATAAGTAAACTTAAATAGCCTAACAAGAACTGAAAGACTTAACTTGTAGTAGAGCATAGGAATGGTTTCATTGTTCTGAATTTCACCCATATCAACCCTGTAAGTGAGGGAAGGGGTCGCACACCCCTGACCTGATTTTTAATGCAATCAGTCAATACGTATACACGCCAAGGGCAGGCTCGCACTCACCATGTGGCCCTCAAGTGACACTGCAAAATGTTAATTACTTACCTTACTGTACAGCTTGACTGAATTTGTTTGTATTTGGAACTCTATTATTGTGTGAATGCTCTTTTTGTTATTCCTAGCATTTTGTACGTATTTTGGAGATATGTTTGTCAATACCATTCGTCATAATCGGAATAAGGTTATGTCGTAATGATATTTAAAAACAGTGCAATTTAAACATGAAACCTGATGTGAATAAATATACTTGATACTTGTAGTTATCCCATTAGTAGCACGGGTGTGCCATGGTCGTCATAGTTTTGGCCTATTCTTGTTTCAAAAACTTTTCCACTGAGTAGTAAGGCCTAGTTGTTAGATATTCTTTAAGTATGTCTATTATATATAAATATACAACCTGATACATTTAGTTCAAACTCAAAGAAAATAATTACGGGGATTATATTCTTAAATTTCTAATAAAAGACGCCTTCGACAAAAAGTCATTTTACGTATCCTTGTAAACCCTCACTAATACAAATCTATTAATAGTTACTTCGCTTAATCCGGACAGCCATTTGACAGAAATTTATAACATGGCTAGCTCAGTTAGGAATGCGTTACTGTAAATTAGACAGTCTTTTGCACTGTTAAAAACTTACTGTGTTTTAGTAGTTTAAACCATCTACCGTTTCTAAACATTCAGAGCATATTATTCACACCTTTTCCTGTAGCCTACAAGGTGTATGCGAAAAGTACCCAAACGGTCCCGGTATATCACTTTCTTCATATTGAATTGATTGTATGCAATCCAGATGACTTGGCTCCCTTATTAGTCAGTATTAATGAGGACAGGATCACGATATGTTATTTCTATAATCAGGAGATAGTAGATTATGTTGTCCTAACGTATTATATAAAATTTCACTTATTTCCAATGCCTCTATCATGTATAACTTTTACGTTCCATGACAATACAGACTGATTTTTTATTAATTAATAGTTCAAACATGAGTGTTGAATTAAAATTCCTTTTCGACCACTAACCGCATCCATTTACACTAGCGGCAAGTTTTACTGAAATTCTATTTCATATATCACCCAGTCAAAACAAAAACTAGTCTCATTTTTTAATATAAATTATGAATTGTATGATCATATTTAAAACGTATTTATGATCAATAAATTAACTAGTTGGACATAATTAATTGTATGACATCCACGCGCTTATGTGTAAAGCCAAACATTAGAATTCCTTTGTGAAAAATCCAAAATCCAAACGATTTTCGTCAATCGAAGTACTGTAAAATGTGATTTGAATTATTTATATACCAAAATTAGGTCTGTTTAATCTGTATTCATTCCTTTAAGAGACTGTGTTTCTATTGAGACATTCTATTGTTTCTATATCTACATTGAGATTTGACATAATTTTAGGGGAACAAACTACTGGTATGAAATGGTTATGAAGGTATGAAGGTTACAAAAAAACGGATTATTCGCACCAACTCTCATCCACGAAACATTTCAAAACTTCAAAATTCAAACATTTACCGGGTTGTATATTCTTTTATTAATTTTTAAATCACATATCTACATTCTAAAAATGGAATTCTCAATAAAAACACGCAAATGAGTCCCCAGACATCGTTTGACAGTATCAGAAAAAGTCTATTGTATGCTTGGCCGATCTTGTACAATGTGCTTTCTTCACGTTTCAAGTCATTGAGTAAAATACAATTTAAAGATACAATAAATCATTTACTCATTGACAAAACCGATTGAAGATTATTACACCATTTTAATTTAGAATACATTTTTCTGTTTTATAAATAAATAAATGTATCAGTACATCTCATTATTGTAGTGTACCGGCTCATCTGCTCATCACATGCTTTCTTTGATACGTTCACGTTATACCACATACCAATGATGAATAAGAAATAATGAACTATTCTTATCTGTGGTTTTAGTAAAAGCGAAAATGTGGGCGGAAAAATACGAGGTTTAAGAGCCCGCCAATCTTATAAAAATAATAATTTCTCACTCCTGCACTAATCAAAGCTACAGACTAATCAGATTTTCTATTCACAGTGATCATTTTACCTGGGATATTTACATTTACATTTTTAAAATAAACTTGATTTTAAGGCTTTCTTCCTAAAACATTAATCAATAACTCTGTCGAAAATGGTGTGACAGGTCTGCTATGACAAGTTTTCAAGTAGCTCTCTGGATGATTGAGTGGACCCTGTCCTCGCCTATACTAAACTACAAAAGATTGCAAATTACGCTAACTTTTATGAGATAGTTTGTTGGAGCTCAGTTCGATTTACGCTTCATTAGCTCAGTTGGTCGGTAATTTGTGTCTAGGATAATTTAGTAGGGTCCCTAGATATTTGGGAGACCTTAAATCTCTCAACGGCCTTTCCTAGTTGGACAGAGTATATAATTAGTAAGTCCCCGGTTCGACCTTGAGAAAAGTCAAAAAGTACAAAATACTTGTAACATGTGTTTACAACAAGCCATCCACAGTAATTACAAAATACTGTACAAAGGGAAAAACATCAGTAGTAACTATTGAGCAAAGATTACAATAAAGATTACTCGACATTGGGAAACGTGTTTTGAATTGGCGACGTTTGAGTGCACTGGCGTCAACTCAATGTTTCAATTTTACTATAGAGTTATTCACTCTTTTATTGTTTACATAATTTGGACAGCTGTATTCAGTTGAATTAGTATTAAAGTTCATTGTATTACAATAATCTACGCTTGAATCGGACTTGGATGTCTTCAGTTAATCCATAATACATCATACGATAGTATTTTAGAGAGTATGCTCATGCTGAAGTTTTACTTATACGCAAAGAACGATTTAATTTAGTACCAAGAAATAAATCACACCCCTTAAATAGCTGTACTATGCTGTATTAACACTATTGTAGCTGATTACTACTGTATTAACCTGTGATCACATAGTAATTCCTACTATAGGAACTGATATAAAAAACCCCTTCTTTTATTTTTTTTCAACATTTGTTTGATTTATTTACGGAGTAAAAAATGTTTAAGATTAAAATAAATTAATGTGTTGGGTTGCCAAGCTAAGATTTCCATCATAATAAATTGAAATTCAACTGAAACTTAAATAATAAAAGCCTAATTTAGTTATAAATAAAACGCGAGTTTCTTTTATTGATTTTACAATAGAAATAAACATACTGAACAATGGATCGGTCCCCCGGTACAAATTTTAAAATTACCACTAAACCACAATGCAATATTAAAAGAGAACACATTAGGTAGTGCAACTCTGAACCAATCAAATTTGCATGTTATACAGCAAAGTTGTTAGACGATAGAGCAGAATTACACGCCTCATAGAGTACAAAGTAAAATATACCACCAAAAAGCGCAAAAGAGAATTACTAGAGGGATAATATCTTTTCTACCTGACTTAGGCTTGGTGCGCAAAACAGATCCGCCCGGTCCTTGATCTTAATCATCGGTCTTTAAAAGAACGAGCTGGTCAAAGTCAGTAAAATATTCGTCTTTAAATACGCAACCAGGTGTGTTGGCAGCCTGTAAATCAAATCTAAACTAATCAAATGATAGGTGTGAATTTATCTGTATTGCAAATTTTCGTCTTAACTCAGGCAGGGGCAGACGAATTTAAAGTACTGAACACAGAACAAATTTATTTGGAGTAGAAATGTGTTGTTGTCTTAAGGAGATGTATCGTGCAATCTTCATAACGATTCCGGACAATTTCTGTGACCAGGCAAATATACAGTACAGTGCAGACCTTGTAATATATAAATTAATGTTGGGGTTTCACGACCCAGACTCTTTTTTCGTCCAAATGATTCCCTAAATTCCAAACCTACAATGTAAACTATGAATGTTGTCCTCGTAAAACACTAGGTTCAACACCAGTCATAATCTAGCTCACAGACAATATTTGTTAGGCTATGTTTACCGCCAAAGTCTAGTGCTAATTGTAAGAATATTTTGTTCTTTCTTATTTTTGTTGACTTACCTCCAGCATTGCATATTACTACGACAATAAAGAGAATTGGAATGTGATATTTCGTTTTATAGTCATCCAACTACGTCGGAGCCTGTCACCAAATGTTATCATTACAAAACCTGACAACTCCCACTTCAACGCGTAAGCCCGAGCGTTTTTGCACCCCTTTCGCTCCGTGCCACCGCAATCTTTTCTTCAGGGGGCGGACAAAGGTTTTCGTCGTTCCCGATGAAGCCCCAATGACTCTCGGGTTGTTTTGGACGCTGGCAGATTGCCTTGATGTCCCGATGCCAAGCCGGAGCATCAGTGCTCGCTGCTTACTGCTCAGTGCTGCATTGGTCTCGGCTCATGTTCGTAGAGTCGATGGTCGTAGTGCGGAGAACGGAGAACGGACAGTGTAATGCGTCCTAGTGGAGTTACATTATAACGACGTTAACATGGGTGCGTATTTTTATACGAAGGACGGGGGTGAATGACATGATAAAGTTGTGACTAGATCAGCTGGCTCTACGGCCATGACTATTTATTTAAAACCAATAATCGAGGACAGCTTGGTCCAGTTTTGAGCCATCCAAAAGCTACTGGCTTTCGATAGGCTCGAACCAACTATCGTCTGATTGTTAGGAGAGTGATTTAAAAATTATATCAAACTAAACTATAATTGGTTGATTGAATATAATATAATTCACTCCAAGTACTATTATATCCACTCAGCTACCCAGCCATGTTCTAGTTAGTTTGCAAACGAGAGATATATTTCTGAACAAAATACTAAAGAATACAGCGAGTTGAGTCGACCATCGACCATTACTAGACACAAATTTATGCCTATTTAAAAAGACGTTAAAAACCACTTAAATGTGAAATTAAAGCATCATCGATTTGTACAATCCTGAATTTGCGATTTCTTTGGTGACTCAAGCACTTAAATTATACTCTTTGTTGTTCAATTTGTTTACTAGTAAATCCTTAAAGTTGCTAGAAATGCAATAAGTTTCATTAGATTTATACTACTAACCTAAAAACCAAACGTACGGAAATGCAATCTGTGTGTGGTAAAATATTAGTCGACAGTCTGTAACACTCTAAGCAAATAAATATTGTAAATAGTTTTTAAATCGAGTTAAGTTTATGTAAATACACACGTTAAATCCCAAGAAAATAGACTCAATACCTAGACCTGCTTTACGTTTGGAGTTGAAATAAAAGTGTTATACAAAGAATGCTTAAGGTCATAGATAAACTGCTTTCTTCTACTGCTTTGTGTAAAATTGGAACCAGTGCGCACAAAACTTGACACATTTTGGCAGATCATATTTTGACCTTAACGATGACATTTTAACTCTTGCGTTCACGTGTGAATGACCTAGATTTAACAAATGCAAATATTGTTTGACCAAATCATTTTGCTTCCTAACCTTTGTACAGTACAATGAATATCTTGTAAATTACGAAGGGGTTAAAAGTAAAATTACGTTGAAACAATGCAGTCGTTTACATTTCAGTTATGTTAGTAAATAAACATAATTTTGTCAATTACTGATTATAAACAAATTTGTAGCCTTTTATATTTCATATGTCTTCTTGAACAAAACATTACGTCATTAACGTGATGCTTGTTTGAAACATATTTTATGGAGTCCAATGGCTTTTAAAGCCAATTGAATTAAGTTCAAAAATTCTTATATTTTAAACAGCACTTTTTATGAAGACTTATTAAATTGATCCACAAACGACTGTTATCTTATTAAATATATTTTTGAAATGGCCACAAGCACGTAATTTAACTATAATGTGACATGACAAAATATTTTAAGGTTAGTAGAGAAGGAAAATCCAGAATGAAGCGTACCCTATTAAAATCCCAGGAACAAAAGATTTAACACAAGAATTAAATCCCCTCCATTCCGGAACCAGAAGACATCTTCTGCCTTTGTAGGAACTATCGTCAGCTGGTCCGTCGTGAAAATAGTTAAACATTTTATTTACTCATTAAAATATATATTTCGATTTCTAATATTCTAGAAAACGGATTTTAAAGGCAGAAATTTATTTCTTGATGTATAAAAACGAGAACGCCTTAGTTTGAAATTGAATCCAAGAGATGTACAAACATATATTTTTTGGGAAATTGTGATATAGCCTATTATCAATTTATTGATTTATATTACATTTACTGTCAAGTATGGGGGTTCTATATCTTTAGAATAAATTTGCTGAAATTAAAATGTCAAAAAAATTTTAATTTCCAAAATCGTCATATTGCCTTGCTGATTTTATGACCATTTATGAAAAAAAAAACTACTTATTATAAATTCTTTATTCTAAAACTAAAATAAATTCAATAATGAGATGATAATATTTTTATTTATTTCTGTTGTTCTTATCAAAACATCTTTATTCACTTTAAATTCAAGATATTATATTAACATATAATATAATAATAATAACATAGATATTAACATGAATAATATGAATGGGTTATGGGTAATATTTATTATAGGCAGCTTAACCATAGAATTTAATAAACACAATCTTTTGGTTGCTTATTTATTTTTTTGGCTTACCTATACACACAATTTCATATTCGTTTTTGGAGTGGATCACTAACAAACCTTTCTTTTGAAAACCTATTTATGCTGTATAAAGCTAGATTGTTTGATAGCAATTTCAAATGTCAAAGAATTCAGTTTCATTTAGGTCTTTATTGAGTGAGATGCATAGTATTTATCATAAATAGGCCAGTACATGATGGTTTCATTTTGGAAATATCTAACAGTAATCTTTTTCTATCAAGGTGTACCTCTGTTTTCATATGCTTACAAACGTGATGAATTAAAAACATCGCCGGTGTCTCTTATCATTTAAATTTTTTTTAGATTTATTTTACTTAGATCTTATAATTAAAATTTTAAATAATCCTAATTGTTTGCTTGTGAAGTTTTAAAATTGTCACAAAGGTTTTTCGTTGCTCTCACTACATTTTGGTTTCAGAGCTCAACCTAAAACAAAATTGTGGTAGCTCATTATTAACACAGCTATTTATACCTTGGGTCAAATATCTGAGATTCATTTAGTCCTCTTCTGAAACCACTCTTGCAATTAAAATTACTTGCACCACATTTAAACATTTTTAATTTGTTTTTGTTTCACTTTGCTGCAATTCCAGTGATTTGTATTTAAAATATATACAGTCCACCTATTCTGAACGTGCAAATATATTCTCCACCCTCAATACTCCATAAATTGAATTGAAACTACAAACTAAACCCAAATGATTTTTTATACCGGTAATATGTTTTTAAATTGATTTTAATTTGTGGCCATTTTCACTTTGGTATTTTTTTTTTGTTGCAGTATTTTAAAGTTTAAGACAAGATTGAGATGTTCCAAATCCCAAACTAACAGGTGATACAAGGGCTTTTGCCAAAGCCAAGACAAGGCTATAAATACATGCAGCCTTCCACTTCTAGTAAACACCATGGACAGAAATATAACCATTCACAGTCAATAATAGAATCATTTGGTTTGTTTTTTACACTCAATCCTGTGTTTTACAACTAATGTTTACACTGCCAACAAAAACACCAATCACTTTCAGTCGATCTTATCTATTGGCCTGTGACATCTTAAATTGTTTAAGAACATTTCCCCAACACACTGTTAATTTATATTTTTCATTTCTAGCCACTTACCAATTCCAATTTAGTTGACACAAGCTAAATTCATGGGTCTAAGCTAATGCCAACTAAAATACCCTCCGACTAAGAAAACTTCCAGTCTGACTGGATTTTTGCAAAAATATTTTCTTGAACTTGTCACATTTTTATCCCCAATTTGGGAAAAAGGCTACTAAAGGGAAGGAAAACTGGGTTTTTTGTAAAATGTGTGTAGTATAATATGAAGCAAATAAATAAATTTGCCAAGGTTAACTAAATTTGCCATAAACAAGCAAACTATAACAGTTTACCTTTTCCCCAGAAGAATATCATGGGAAGTTAAAATAAGCGGTCATTTAAAATTTTCTCTGTAACCTTAAATACTGCAACAACAATTCAAAGTATGAAATTGTTTGTTTTGAAGCCCTACGGAATGGTTTTATTAAAATCTTTATATTTTCATGTTTGGGTAAACATGAAAAACAATCAAAAATTTGTCCCCCTTAAATTTGCTATTATACTTAATTAACAATAAAGATTTAACAAGATGGAGATTTTACGAAAGTTAAATATAGTTATTGTTTATAATTAGCATCAACAATTAGGGCTCATAAATTCAGTGAAAATACTGAAGGTGACATTATAGCTACTATGCAACTTTCAAAGGCAGTTTCCAAACTATGAATTTACAATTATCTATTTGTAAATTTACAATGGATATATATAGCCCGAATGAAAAAATGTTACCATACATAAAAAAGTGATAATAACTACTCAGTTAAGGCAATATTATCAACATGGATATTTGGTAAGAACAGTAACCATGAAGAAGACAGTAATTAATTGAAAAAAAAAAAAATACTCCCAAAGACAACATAATTTTTCACTAATCACAAAACAAATTACCGGTAATGTATTACTTTACTGGTAATACAGCGCTATCATTATCAAGGAAAAGTATTAACAGATATGTTTACATCAGTTGACCCAGGATTTCTAAGGCCTTTGTTTATTATTATAAAATATAGTTTTTAATGTGGGTAAAAAGTATCGGAAGTGAGTAAAGATCATAGAGACATTGCTCACTATTTATTTAAAACAGATACAAACACAAATATAAAATAAACTTTATCCACAATCTGACACATACTTTCTCCCATTACCTTAACCCTTGTCATGGGCAAGAGGTGGGAGTAACTATGGTATTTTATGGGGAAAATCACAAAAGTTGCAATAACTTTTGAACCTTATATTTTACAGCATCGAGCACTAAATGTATTTAAGGCTTAAAAGACCATAACATATTAAATTTCAGTCAACATTTTTCAAGATTTTTTTTGAAATCTGATCGTTCTGATATTTTATGGGAAAAATCACCATTAATAATTTCAAAAAGATTTTGGATTCAGGGTGGGTCAAGAGGGATATTTCAACCCAAAGCTCAATCTCGAAGATTCAGATTAAAACAATACTTTCTCCATATACTTAATATAGGGGAAAAAATAAAAAAAACAGAAATAGAGTAGGCTACAGACTCCTCAATGATTTAAAAGCAATAGTAATGAACTGCATTTTACATTACAAATGTTGTAGAGTTAAAAATATCATTTAAAACATATAATTTCAAGCAAAAATTATTTCATGGTTGATTAGTTGGAAAAGGTTTAGAAATTCAATATTGAAGTTTTATGGTCAAAATTTAATACTTTGACATTTTATCATTGCTGGTTTCTTTGTGTTTGTGTGTGTGTGTGTGTGTTTATCCTCATATTAAAACTAGCTGCTTTACAAAATCAGGCAGCTCACAACAATTTCATTATATAGACAAATAAATTGTTGTTAAATTAGAATCATTTTATCAATGTTGTGTAAGCTGCTGTTATTTTATGTAGACATTTACCATATTTTTCACTACTCATTGGATTTAATTATAACAAAACCAAAAACTTTAAAATTATAAACATACAACCAATTACCCTAGAGCCAGTGTCACTGACATTTAAATCCACTCAAAGCTAACGATCTGGATAAATACAACAGTTTGTTTCCCTTTAAACACAATACTAGTCTGGTCCATTGTAACAATAACATGAGGTAGTACAATATTAGGTACTGTACTTTGAGAAATATTTATACAGGGATAGAATAAAACTCAGCGACTTATTTAATCATAAACAACCACACGATGATTACATAGATTTTTTATGCATTTAAATGCATATCCATAACTTTATCAATTACAAATCAAATTGAATAGAAGACGATATTCTAGATTGATCTAAATTCAATAAAGCTTCTTCAATCAAATGATTCATCAGTACTTGGAGAAGAAAGCCTTAGAAATGATGTTCTATAGCTCACTCAGAACCTAGTTTACCTGTAATGCTGTCTATAGTAACGATCAATCAGTTTGCTTATAAATGAATAAATCTATTTAGTTTTAATAAACGGTGTCCAGGAAATCTCTGGTCCACCTCAAAATTTTCGGTGCACCGAAATCCCCCCGCATACCATCTCGACCAAAAGGGTTCGCTAATCCCCTAACTGAAACTCCCCCGCGAGGGTGGCAAGTACCTGAGCCCACCTGAGGTTTGTCATACCGTAATTAATTGCAACCTTATCGTAAGTCAAAACACTTGCAAAATTTACGACTTGCTTTAATTCTTTGATGATTTATTTTGAAGACTAGTTACAACGTTTCATTCTATTAAAAATTTTGTTGTATGAAAAAAATATTTTAGTTTATGTTTTTTATCTCAGGTTCTCAATAAGACAAAATGGTTTTTTTGGTCTGAATTATTCACAAAACCATTTACACTTGGCGTGTTATATCTTGACCCGTGGCCTACTCCAATGCTGCGGAGTAAGAAAAATCAATCACTGGGGACAACAAATCAAGTGTAAAACAATATGAACAAACATCAGTATTTGTTTACAAACAATAATGACAATTTAAATTGACAGCTGGTAAAATAATTTTAACATGTTAGCCTAGTACAACATATGGATCAGCTGTATTGTTCTTATAAGACTTTCACCATACACTCCAAATTGTTTACTGTTTTTCAGCAAAATTTAATTACAACCACTTAACCTATACAAGACTATAATAAATAAATGTAAAGTCTTGAAAATAAAATTTAATTTGTAAATCAAATCCTCCATTGAGTATACCAATCTTTCTAGTTTCCAACCTTTAAGTTATGATTGTCACTTTATATGTTCTTTTGAGGTAATTTTAGTTTATGTTCCCTAAGGGACCACAAAATGAAAAACGGAAAGTAAATAAAAGAAACGTCTTATAACACTTAAAACATATATTTACGCTTATACTGTTACTCACAAGACGGTAAATATACAAAACAGATGGTAAGTGGTGATCGATTTCGATTGGACACTCCAATCATCATCAGACCCAATAGGCGAAGTTTAGTTTCTGACCTGTTCCGTTGCTGAAATAAAATGTCTTTACAAAAACCATATAAGATTTTTTTTTATGACAAATTCCAAAACTTATAAATATGCTTGATAAGTAATTTCATGACGATTACATCAGTAGTGTTTTTGTTATAAAATGTTAAAGTCGCACGTTGTTAGAAAAGCGCCGAAAAACCTGTACTTTAAATTCAACCAGCTGAAAGGCTCAGTTGAAACTGCATACAAAATTTGAAATCAACACACATAAACGCAGAAATAAATTTGTAAAAATATGACATAACTTATATTTGTTTAAGTCAACTGGTTACTTTGTTATAAACACTCAAACTCGAGTATCTATACTTTTTGACTCGACAGTAGGCACTCTCCCTCCTGAGAGATGGAAGAAGGGTTTTGGGAGAATCTCCACGTTCTACAATGACAATAAAAACTTTCTCCCTGTCATTGCCTCCCCTTGGATTCCAGGAAGAACAGCAGGGGAATATCGGTGCGCCGCTGGGGCGGGATTACAGGTCGCAGCGGAGTTTCGGTATCTACCTGGATTTTGCGGGGAAGTTTCGTTGCGCCCAAAATTATAGCTGATTTATTTTTATAAAATTGGTAGAAACAGCTGACTAGCTAAACACAAGTTTACATGAAATGTTTTACATTCTGGTACAGTTTACATTTTGTGAAGTATTTTTTGTATTAGAGTGGCTTATAAAAGTATCACAATTTGGTTATTTATCATCCAATCACCTTAACTAAGTACCGTACCTTAGATTTGTATTTAATGGTTAAAAGTTTATTATTCTTTTATTTAATATCTTACGTAAGCAGATTTTTAGATATTTTAATTTGCCATTTTTAGAAACTTGTCAACAAAAGCTAAAACAAAACATTTAGTACAACATATGGACAGAAGTTTATAAAAAAAATCACATTTAGTCCGACAGACAGATATAACAACATATTGTAGGACCATAGAAAACCAGAGAGTTCCAGGATATCCTGTATATTGATTTAGTTTGTTGCAATGTGATTTCGTAAAGTGCAGACTATTTAAACTCCTCTTGAAATACTAAAATTGAATCTTACAGTGTTTTTAATAAAAATTTGCATTTATATCATATTTTGAGTTGTTTTGTCTCTGGATCCCAGAACAAACTATAAAAGATATAAAATTACCTGAGTACTGCCAGAGTGATCCTGTTAGTACACGTACATTGATTACACGTTTCGAGGACTTAAGTCCTCATCATCAGATCTTGTACAAGAATATTTAACAATGTCACTTCAAAAAGGTCGTCAAGAGTTTAAATACACAACACGGACACATAATAAACACAGACGTTTTACAAACAAATACGGCCTTGACAGTGTTAAATGTTCTTGTAAAGATTTGATGATGAGGACTTAAGTCCTCAAAACGTGTAATCCATAAGGACTAACAGGATCACTCTGGCAGTACAGTACTCAGGTAATTTTATACCTTTTATAGTTATGCATTTATAGTTGAAAAAGATGATCGTGTACTGTTCCTTTATAACTATAATAATTAAGAATGCAGTCTGTTCTGTCTTATGTTGATGTATAAAGGTGTTAAATTTGAATGTTTAAAACCACTTGTAATAGAATTAAAAATAACTGAAAGTTCATTTCTGAAGGTCTGACAACTTAATTATTATGTTCTATAAAATGTATAAAATTAAAATATGTGTCACTGGCTTTCTAAGTAAAGGCTTTACTAAAAGACTTTATAAGTAAAGACTTTATAAGAAGTTCCTTCTTAACGATTAACTGATCGATAAAGAATACTTTTTTTACAATGACAAGCCTTCTGGTGTAATTGTTGGCTTACTGTAAGTGGCTTACTTGGATGATAAAGAGACTCTATTGGAACTAGAAAAACAACTTTAAACTACCGGTAAAATTAGAGTAGTTTCATACTTTTTATTAACACTTTGGATCTGGTGATTCTTTCTTTCTGTCTCAAATGTTCCTCGCTTGCAAATGCTGTCAGGAATTCAAAAATATTCTATTTGTTGTTGGTATAGTGTAAATTGTTTGTTCTTAATTTGAATTACCTATAATTTAATAAAACTAAAATTGTTAATTATGAAAAGTACTAAATATATTTGATCAAACTGCCTTAGCGTTGGAACTCCTAATCAACAATGCAATAAGGTAAGGCACGTCTAAAAGTATGGGGTCAGAGGAAGATGTATGTGAAGCATACCCTGAACTCCTGGTCTACTCCATGCGGATGGAATGGATCGGGTTGGACGGAAAGACGTACTTGAACAGTTCAGTGCGGGTGGAATGGTCCGAGAATGACAGCCGTGCAGTGTGCGAAGTTCCTAAGAAACTTTCAGATAGGACAGCTCAAGACTATACCCTCCCACAGGACGCAGACGCTTCTGGACACTGCGTACGATGTTTGGTACAGGTTCTAGCGTTTGTAGCATTGGTTGTCCTCTTTCTCCGAGGGCTGGGAGTGCAGACACTGCGCACAGTGACGTTTCCACCCCCGAAGTGTGGAGGTCTCTCCGTGGAAAGCTGGAACAGAGAGTCGCCCAAGAGGTGGGCAAAGCCCCCGGAACGCAGAACTCGGTCAGCTGCAGCAGTTCTAGAGCGAAGCCTGTACAGACCTCTACTTGCTACCGCTAGGTGGGCCGATCTCTCTATGGTGTGGAAAAGTTGCTTTTAACTTGCTTTGAGAAACTTACATACTCAACCATGACTTTGATACATTAACTTATTCAACAGACCGTGAAGTTGTGAACATGCCATTGTCATTAATTGCCTATCCATAATGAAAGTAGATAGGTAACCATTTCGTTCATATGATGGGTTGAAGATCAAAAACATTCTCGTTGATGTAAAAACTGGAATTGGTTTGATGTATAATAGCCCGAGTGTTCTAAACAGCAAATAACATTCAATTATAATATAGTCACAAAAATATTGCCCTCACTGAAACAAAAATAGTGTAAGGTACTGTAGTTGAATGCACAAAAAATGGTTCACAACGTGCAATACTGTAGGAAGTAATTTCAAAGAAAGAACAGTATAATACAGTTTGTAAACAGCAATTACAGCAAATTGAGATACAGGAAATAAGCTTACACCAACTCAACAAAGTCTATGAGTAGTCTTTGTCGTTAACAATAATATACTTAAATTGTTGTGGATTTAATAACAAACAAAGAACAGTGGTTAAGTGGATTATGAAAACACATTTATAATATAATAAATAATTTTTGAAACTTAATTAGTGAATCCAAGCAATCCTAGCTATGAATTGCTCCCTAATTTAGGGATGGATTTTACTGTCTGATATCTTAAGAAGACAAGTAATAGTTAAACTGATGACCAGTATTGATCATAGTTAGTTAAACAGTTCTAAAGCTGTGATTTTAAAATCAGTACCGTAACACTCTAGCTGTGGTGTATGGATTAAATACCCACAAACACTTACTGTGGGAACACTTTTAGGGTTTGACTTCAGCAAAATTTAGAACGACATTACTTTCTGATTTAGTTAAACAAAAAACATTTTATTCATGCACTAGAGTTCTTTTCCTTATTAAAAAAAAACCTCCAACTCTTCATCTAACACTCAATCAATTAACATTATCAACATTATCATGCTGTATGTTTAATTAAGTTATGCTTCCAATGATACTAAACAATCAAATGATGTTACTTTAAATATTATCCTACGCTCATTTTGAACATGCAAAATATAACACAACAAAATAACTAAATTGTTCACACATTAATATGATGCACATTTTAACGTACGTTATGAAGGTTATTGAGAATTATAAATTATAAAACCCTTCAGAAAGCTATAAAATATAAACAATCAGATAAGCTCTTTTTTCTCATGTCAAAATTGTTTCCGGAAAATCTTGCTCCTACTTCTTTAGTTACAAATTAAATATCTTATTAACAAATTAAAAACCTTTATTCGTCTTAGCTGTTTCTTTGCTTTTCCCATTTCCTATTGCTGTTTGCACTTAACTGCATGTGTGTGACGCACCAATCTATGCTGCAATTTAAGTTTTATAAACATGGTTTATTTTGTGTAAATACTCAATGGAAGTTGATACAATGATTGATTACAGCTTATATTCAGACAAAACGACTGTCTATGTCTAGGTTATGAGGTCTCCAATTCATTTTTATTTTTTTATTATGTAAGATAGGTTTTTGGTTACACATTTTGATGCTGTACCGTACTCTTTATAAACAAATATGTAGCCATACATTGAAAATACAATAATACGGTACCAAACTTTCTCTCTGGCTCCATTTTCTCCCTTGTTATGTGCTTGGCTCTGTTACAAATTGATATAACTTGCCAACACTTCTACATATCTAGGCCTCTTTGCAATACATTATAGAGCCTTTAAGTTCTATTTAGGAGGATTCTACATCCGTAAAATTACCCATACATGAAAAAAATAATTAATACTTTCTGCACCATTGTACAACATGTCAGAATTATTTCCCATATAGGGAATAAGATATTACCGTAGGTCTCTTGGTAACGCCAGGTCCTGGGACCAATTTACTTTTTCATTTTGAGGTCCCAGGAGGCCAAAAATACTATATCTGTTCAAATTCGTATATATATATATATCCATTAACACGATAACTGGAGCAAAAATGATACAATTTTGACAAAATTTTGTATAAATGTGTAAACCTAGATTTACTCGAACGAGTTCACGAACCAGCATGATCGGACTATGGTAACGGGAGTTTATGGGGGGTTTCATGGGGTAAGATTTGGAGTTTCCCATTTTGAACCTGAAAAACCACCAAATTTTGCAATTTCCTTCGAAACTATTATGTAGAGCCTATAAAACCAAATAATTTTGTAAATTGAAGTGTTGTTGTGTGCTTAATGGTTATGGAGAAAATTTAAAAAGTTGTGAAATTCAATAGTAAAAGAGCCAAAAATGGGAAAACCTACTTGTACCCCCAAGAACCCCCGACTCTGCATCCATGCAACTCTTTTGAATAAACGTAGGTTTACACATTTGTACCAAATTTCATGCAAATCGGATAATTTGTACTCGATTTATTATGCTAACTGACCAATAAATATGAATTAGAACAGATGGAGTTTTTGGCCACTGGGGACATCAAAACAGAATATAAATCAGTCCGGGTCCAGGTCTAACCATGTGACATACGGTAATAGATCTATATGAGGAATTGATTTAAAAAATTAAAATTTTACAAGATTTTTTTTAATTTTTAGTTTGATCACTGTTCATTTGAGTGATTTTCCCTTTTTCTTTGTGTTTAGAAAACTTACCACTACAATTTTACATTTCGTATTTTCTATACCAAGCTGTACCTAATAAATTTGAAATACATCTTAACATTTAATCTGATTCATATCATCGATGAAAGTTAAATAATTATCTCCAAAGTAAAATAATACAGTAAAACCACATCGGATGTTGGAATAAGCCTACAGGTACAGGTGTGTAATTGGATTTTAGTTATTGCATTGTATTAAGTTTCATAAAGTTGTTTTATTAAAGGAAACATAATTGCTATTCTGTAGTATTATAAAATACCCAGACAAACACCTAAACAAAGAATATTGTTTGGGTCTTAAAATTTAAATATCTGTAGGTTGAAATACCACAAACTTTGAAGTCTTGGCCTCTGGGTATTGCCCTTCCCCCGCTCGGTTAGCCTAAACACCAAAGACATTCACAACACTTGGGAGATATTGTACAGAGAACAAGAATTGGTCCTTTGTCTGGATTACACTTTACAAAATCCTATTATATTTAGGTACTTTGTGCTTTCTTGTCTTGACATGAAAATGCCAGCTCTCCAGAAGTGAGTACAATGTATCAACCGACCAAAAAAAAGAAATGGTTATAAGACTTTCAATTCATGTACCACTTGTCTTGTTCCCTTAAAAAATATGCACAGGAACATATTTAACAAAATAAATATTGATTGTAAAGGAAAATAGTATATTACGTTACTAGTCCGGTGAGTGGTGTTTTTAAGTGGGATTTTTATGTGAGTACGGTTAAGCTTACCGGGCAAGTAACATTCAATACTTTACATCATACTACACAGAATAAGTATACATTTCAAACTCATAAGACAATTTATTTAGGACAAAAGATAAATTATAATATTTTTATATTTCAGAAAATAAAATAGGCCGTTGCAATTAGCTGTTAATTTCATCAGCTGACTAAGTGCACGGTAAAAGTACTTAATGTTTCTTTTCCCTATGTAGGCACGGCAAAAGGCAACTTTCTAGCCTACCTATACAGATGGAAAAGTACCAGCTTCTGTGTAGTATGATGTAAAAATGTTTATGATACTACATGGTATTTATGTTCCAATTCCCCAAGGCCCACTATCAAACCAATAATACAGTTAGCCATGATAGTAAAACATCCATATTAGATATGATGCTTAAATTATTTTACCATACAGTATGATAACAAAAAATATCTTGTATAATATCCCCTCCTTTGAATCCCAGAAAATCTTTATTAATACCAATAGTGCACATACAAACATTTGACTTATTTTCATTGTGAAGTAGCCTCTGAATCATTATAAGATATACAGGGTGAAAAAAGCCCTGGGACAGTTAAATACTTACTTACTGCCGTGGCTCCACAAATCTCAGTTGATTCTTCGCCTCGTGTACCAGCCTCTTCCACCCTTCTCTGTCTCTGCCAAGTTGACATTTACACCCATTGTCCTGATGTCATTCAATACTTGGTCAGTCCATCTCAATTTTGGCTTTCCCAATGGATGTTTACCTCCAGGTGTGGCTCTCCAAACTTCATACAGTCTTGTTCCTTTCTCTCTTCTTAGCACATGCCCTATCCAACTTAACCTTCTTCCCATCCTTTAACCATTGCAACAATATCTGGTCCGGTGGATCTTAGCTCTCTATTTTTCATTATTCTCCACATTTCTCCCTCCTGCACTGGTCCAAATATTTTTCTTATGAATTTATTTTCAAACACCATAAGTCGTTTTTCATTTGTCTTTGACAATACCCATGTGTTACTACCATAACAGAATAGGTTGAAGTTGAAACAATAAACATAACTTATGTTGAATTATATAAAACTTTAGATGAGATCAACTTCTTGCAGGCTCCCAAACACTTATTGGCATTTGATAACTTAGTTAGTATCTCTTCGTCTTCTGAGTTTCTACTATTTACAGTTACAGCTTCTTCCAGTGCTAAGTTGAATAGTATGGGAGATATGCCATCTCATTGTCTTACACCGGTGTTGATGGAAAACTCCTCAGATAGATCTCCTTCCACTCTCACTTTGGCTTTTGAGTCTTTCGTACACATTTCTGTTAGTTTAATTAATTTGTCTGGAAAACCATGCTTTATAAACTTTTCCACAAGCTGATTCTGTCTATGCTATAGTATGCTCTTTTGAAATCTATAAATATTGCACTAACATTCTTGTTGAACTCCCAATATTTTAGAATTGCCTGCTTTAGTAGAAAAATTTGCTCTTTTGTGGACCTCCCTTACATAAATCCAGTTTGTTGTTCTTAAATTAGCGTTTCTACATAGGGGTTTAGTCTTGAGACAAGGATTTTTGAGAGTATTTTATTTATATGCATTATTTAATAAAGAAATTCCTCTGTAGTTCTTGCAGTTTTGTTTGTCCCCCTTCTTGTTTAGAGGAATGATTTCTGCCGTTTTCCATTCAGTAGGTATCTTTTCTTTTTGCCATAAAGTTTTAATTAGGTTTTGGATTTCATTTTCCAGTATGCTTCCTCCACTTTTGATTACTTCTGCTATGATCCCATCTTCGCCCGGAGCTTTGTTGCATTTTAATTCTGTGATTGCCATTTTCACCTCTTCTAACGATGGTGGGTCTAAATATGCGGCTGTACATGGTAAAATGTTGTATCTTCATCGGGAGTGTTAACCACAGTATTCTCGCAGTTTAGCAGGCCATCAAAATAGTCTTGCCATATTCTTAGTGCTTTCTCTTTTTCTGTTGTAACTTTTCCTTCTACATCCTTATTCCAAATGTTCTCGCTTTAAATCATCCTATGAAGAATCTTATAGTTCTATAAAAGTCTCTAGTATTATTGGCTGTTCTATCTTCTTCTGCTTTTTCATTTAAGTAATCTCTTTTACATCTTCTAAGCGTTTGTTTTGTGATTCTGTTTGCTTCCTGATATTTTTGTCTTAGCTCTTCAAAATTTCTTAACCTTATTTGGTCTTCTCTTCCTCATTTCTGGTTTGAAGCCACAATTTTTTTAGTTTCTTCCTCTTGGTTATCATTTTCTGACACCCTTCTGTAAACCATGGATGTCTCACTTTCTTTACTCTTTTTCCACACACTTCTTTCACACTATATTGAATCTTCTTCCATTTTGTTTCTATTATTTCTTGTTCTTCTTCTGCAACATCTTCTTGTACTTCTCTTCTCTCTTCTTCTCTTTCTAGAGCTTCAAATATATTTTATAGTTTAATTTTGAACTCTTCTTTAATTTCCTTCAATTCTAGTTTTCCTGTTGCTAATATTTATTTTTTTACCACTCCCCTTCTTTTAGTGTCTATTCTTTGCCTCGCCTTTATAAGTACCATGTAATGGTCTGTTCAGTATTCGGCTCCACTGACACTTCTTATACTTTTAACACTGCTGATGTGTCTGCTGTCCACCAGAACATGATCAATCTGATTTTCGGTTTACCCGTCTGGTGAAATCCAGGTTGCTTTATGAATATCTTGTCTTTGAAACATTGTGCTACAAACCTTCATGTCCACTGCGCTTGCAAACGTGACCAGTCTTAGTCCATTTTCATTTGTCTCTTCATGTAAACTATTACTTCCTACCATTTCTTTCCGAATATCTTCTTTTCCCACTTTTGCATTTGCATCCCCAATAACTAACTTGACATCATAGTTTGGTAACTTGTTAAATTCCTCCTCTAGATTTTCATAAAATAAATCTTTCTCCTCATCTTCAGAGTCCTATGTTGGTGCATATAAACGTAACATTGAAATATTTTTGAATCTTCCTCTCAGCCTAATATTGCATATTCTTTCATTCTTTGGTGTAAAGCTTATCACACTTTAAGATATTTTCTATTTACAGCAAAACCCACTCCTCTATAACGCCTTTCATCCTCTGTCCCACTATATTACATAATCTTTGGTGTTGATTTTCCCTGCATATGGCCATTTTATTTCTTAAATGTGCTACAATATCCATTTCATAATTCTTTAACTCTTCTGCTAAAATGTCACAGCCACCTGGTGCAGCAAGGGCTCTAGTATTCCATGATCCTATTCTCAAGTCCTTAGTGTGCGTATCCGATTCTTTTATCTTTTGGTATGTTCCTTTTCCGAGGCTTGGTAACTACGTTTTGTAACTGGTATTGTTTTCCGGGGTGGGTTGTTGACCCAACGCCCAACCCCCACAAGCCCTTGGAGGACCAGGCTCGAGTTGCCTGCCTTTCGCCTACTTCATAAGATCCAAGCCAACCTAAGAGGCCTTTCCCATCCTGCTTTACGGGGAAGCATCATACAACTCTTGCTAACACCTTTTGGATTGCATTACTAGTACTGGCAGTGTTAGTGTTTTCCCTGGATGTTAGCCATAGGCAGGACATAGCCATCGGGACAGTTGAATATAAAAAATAAAATAAACAGAGCTACAAAACTTGGTACAAAGTAACTGGGCATTAAAATAATTTTCAAACATTATTCAATGATACACTTTTTTTGGTACTTGGTAACTTTTCCAAACATGGTCGGTTTTGTTGCACTAAATTGTAGCTTAAAATAACACCCACTTTGGTTCCTTGTTGATTCCTTCAAATTGGGTTATTAAATCGATTTAGCCAAAAATGCACTTTTAAATAACTAAGTTACATTTGTCGCCTCAGGGCTGCGAGATAAAATTTTTAGCTGACCAAAAGCTTTTAAACGCCCAAAAATTTGGACACTCCCACAGCTTAATCCAAGCCATGGGATTGTTTCTTTAAGTATTCAACCTACAATTGACAAACTTGTAACAGAGTCCACAGAATTAGGTATTTTCTAAGAAAAATGTGTTTTTCATCAGATCTGAACCTCGCGACTTCCAGACAAACGATCCTGTCGAGGTACAAGAAGAACTCCTCAACTCCGAGGAGGAGGAGGAACAAGAGGATCCTCGAGAGTACTGTCGAGGAGGTTACCATCCTGTGTCCATCGGGGACATCTTCCATTGCCGCTATGAGGTTGTACGTAAGCTGGGTTGGGGCCACTTCTCTACAGTGTGGCTCTGCTGGGACCTCCTGTAAGTAACAACACATTAGCAAAATGTTAGTGGGGATTCACAACCTACTTGCACAGTCTTATAAGCTTGACACCTCAAATCAAGTTTGACATTTTTTTTTTAATTACTCTTGGTTGAGCTTGACTTTTGAACCTGCTTATGTATTGATGAAAGCTTAACACAATTTTAATACAGTAAAAACTCTCTAACTCGACAAATTTGTGGACTTAGAGGTTGTCCAGAACAGTTATCATGAATATTTTACCCAGGACATTGAAGCTTTAGGATTTAATAAATGAATACATAACAGACTAATTTTTACACATACATTTAAAATTGATTACTTACACAAGTATTTTTACATATTGAGTAAACAGTCTTTAAAGAAATGTTGAGTATTCAACAACTAAAACTAAATTAATATATAAAAAATATATCAATTTCTGCACGTGCCCTGTGGTCTGTTGACACAGACTGTCGAGTTAATGATTTTTTTACTGTACTGAGGTTCAGGATGTAACATAAAGAGTACAAGTGCTTAGACTTTTAGGACTTTTTTTTAGGATAGCAGGTTTACCTGAATTGGGAAAGAGTCAGTTATTACTGAACACATATTATGACATACTACACATATTATGAACACAAATCTGGTGTGAGGAACCATAGCTGATATGTTTGCATATCACTGTTATTTCCCTGGTGTCAAAACTTTACACTAATATAAACCAAAACTACACTATACAGTATACACTAATGTGTACTGTATGTGTTTAGTTTTGTGTTTCGTGCCAGATTGGACTCTTCCATTGGCAAATCTGCTATCCTAAAAAAAGTTCTAAAATATAATTTCAATACTACCTATATTTTATTATTCTTATGAAGAAAGTGCGGGGCATAACAATTTGGGTAGCTCTTGTATCTTTATAACAAGACACCTCTTACAGAAAAAGTGTGAATAGTGTCTTCTGCTTGGACTGTTGCCCTCCTACCCATAGTAACTATACACACTACATGCTTTAAAAAAATGTGTCTAGTTTACAGTGAAGCATTTAAATGTATGAAATTGTTATAAAGCTCTGTCAAATCTGGCTGTGCAGATCAAGCAAAACCACATAAGGGTTTACTGTACTTACACTACTGAACACCCAAGCTGATACATTTGGAATGATTATGACTTACAGTTTTTGTTTTAAGCTTTGCTATATTGTTCCATCTTTTTCTAGTGATGTTTAATATTTTTTTCAGCCAAAAAGAGTTTGTTGCACTCAAAGTAGTAAAAAGTGCTCATCACTACACAGAAACAGCTCTGGATGAGATAAAACTTCTCAAAAGGGTAAGTTGGTAAAAATATTTAAATAATAAACTATTTAAAAAAATAAAATAATTAATATTTAACTGTATCTTTATACTGCTGGAGGATATTTTACACATTTACTCACTCATTTTTGGAATAAATGCAGTGAAATCTGTAGTATACTAATTGGGGCTTAAGTTTGTTAGTTTGGAGTTTTGTTTTATTTTGAATATATAGTTCAAATCAAACCATGTGTTAATGCCCAATCAATATTCGATGATATTATATAATCAACCCCAATACACTTTTTATATACTGTATACAAACACAAAGAAGAAATTGAACATATGATGACAAGAAGATTTATTGTTATTGTTAAAACTCATAGGTACTTTCCTGTTAAAGGGAACATTCATTATTATCGATGACTTTTTTCGATACATCGATATTTTTGTTTTCCTTTACGATACATTACAAATTATTGACAGCTGATCTTAAGGCTAAAATATAGTTTATTATATGGATTAAGAAATTAAATTCTTCTAAGCTAACCTAACATAACCAACCAAACTTGCTGTAACATTTAAAAATTCTGTTTGATAACAGAAAAGGTGAGTGGAGAATATTAAACAAAGTTTTTAAATTTTCAAGCAAGTTTGGTTGGTATTGTTAGGTTAGTTTAGAACAGTTTCATTTAAATATTTTTTTAAAATTATTGTTTGTGGATTCTGAACAATATTTATATAGGCTATCGAAGTTGACAGCTGATATGTTTAAATTTGTTAATATCGATATATCGAGAAAAAAAAATCATTGATAATAATAAATGTTCCCTTTAACAGGAAATTACCAACTCATATATTTATTGTTATTGTTGAAACTCATATATTTATTGTTTGTCCTTCACTTACTCACTTATATTTTCACTTACTATTCTTGTTTGTTGTTCTTGTTTATTGGTTGTTATTTAAAGTTTTGCTTTGTGTACGTCTATTTAGATACTGCTCAAATTGTATTTACTTTACTGCATGTCATTGTCAAAAAATTACTTTTGTATGTACATGTTTAAGTTAGATTAAGTCATCTTATACAACATATTGTAAATTGGTTCTTGACCGATGGAAGGTAAAATAAATAAGTAAATAAGAACAAAACAACAACTACAAAAATTACAATAATGGAAATGAAGAACTGAAATGAAGTGAGTGAATTTTTTAAGTTATTTTCAGTTATTACTTTTGAACATTTTCATCTAAACAAAACTTCATTTAAATCAACTTTCAAAAACACCATGTATTTAAAACACCAAAAATTTATTCATTTCTATTACATGTAGTAATTTCCCCTATTCAATAAGTTCAAGTTAATGTCTAACATACTTATTTCTGAAGTATTGACAACAATCTTTTCTCTGTGTGGTTTTTTTTTTTTTAATTGATGTTTGATGCTAATCTTGCTTTAGGTAATTTATTACCTGATGAGGAAATCAGATTTCAGATCCTAAAACGTTGTGAACCCGGTTTTACTAATTGTGTTAGAAAATGTCCACACAATAATCGCTCATAAGTAACATTTTCACTGTTATTAAAAATAAATAAATAATTAAATATCTATTTTTTAGGTACGTGATGCAGACATAGACGATCAAAATCGAAATAGGGTTGTGAGATTACTGAATGATTTCAAAATGACTGGTCAGAACGGCACTCATGTCTGTATGGTGTTTGAGGTGCTGGGAAATAATCTGCTCAAGCTGATAATCCGTAGCGGCTACCAAGGCATTCCTCTAGAAAACGTCAAAGTTATCATTAAACAGGTATGATGCTCGAAACTGGTATACTTCAGAAAATTTTTTTCAGTCTCTTTTTTTATATTTTTATAGAGGGCCAGGCTTACAAGTAACCATGGGATTGCAGGGCAGCTGGAACAGCTTATTCTGCACACCCTCATTCACAGGTCCTCATTCTTCTTCAAATCCCAGGTCCATTGTGAACCATGAAATCCTTTTGACTATGGCGACCTGTTCTTACCTTTGATCTCCAGTCGATAGGCCAAGGGATCTCATGCGCAGACCTTGTAGGGCTGGGCACGTGGAAGGCTGTCTCCTCCTCCTCTCCACATTTCCTACATAAGAGGCTTACAACTTGAATTCCCATCTTGTGTAGATGTCCACATAATACCCAATGGCCGCTGATGAAGCCAACCACCTTCCGCAGGGTCTTCCTATTCAGCCCAAGGGCATCTGCCACTATCCCACCAGTAGGTGTCTGCAGCATTCTCTTTGACTGTACATTACCTTCTGTTCTTTCCCAGCTCCTTCGATGTTTTATGCCCATCCACTGGCGAACAGCTCTCCATGCTGTGTTGTAAGCTATACCACACATCGGCTCTGGACCCATGAGCGGGCTTTCAGCTTCTTTGTTTGCCCACTTGTCAGCTCCCTCATTGCCAGCAATGCCTTTGTGCACTGGAACCCAACTAAGAATAATCTTGTTGTTCTTTCCCAGGGCTTTCATGGCCTGATGACAGCCCATAGTCAAAACTGTCAAGTGCCATTAGTGATACTGTGCTTAGTGCCGGGAGCATGGTCTGGGTGCTTGGCAGCCCACGCCAGCCTCCTCTCACTTCTGGATAGCACCTTTTCACCTTTGGCTAAAGCCCCCGTTATCCTCCATCTTCCTAGCTCTCCCCTGGAAAGTCGTTTGTTTTTTTGTTCCTTTCCAGTCTCCGGGAGCTTGTCTTCATCATCAGATTTTAGGAGGCCTTCCTCCTCCATCTGGGTCAGATCTTTTACGTTCACAATAGGAGTGTTTTCAACCTATCGATCACACTCTCCTTGCTCATCAACATTGGTTTGGCTTGGTAGTTTTTTTTTTTTTTTTTTTGTTAATTTTTTTGGACTTCCATTTTGTTTCCACGAGTTCTGGGTATCTAAAGGTCCACCTCCCCAGTGACCCGATTAGAGAGGTAAGGGGTTCATACGACTGGGTTCCCCCTAGTTCCCAGAAGGCTCCGTTACAGACACTGATTATTAGGCCCTCAGTGCCGAAAGACTCTCAGTACGGGTCGCATACCACCTTAGCCCATGGCCCGCAGTGCTCAGACATATCTCTTGCTATAACTGAACGTCTTGGTGAGCGCCCTGAACTCAGAGAAGCAAGCTTCGTCTTAGACCAGTACGAAACACCCAGTTATGGTTAAGCTGCTGCCCCCCACCAGAAAGTCATTCGAGACTCCAGCCTAGATCCGCCGAGATCAGCGTGACAGAGGCCACAATATGTACAGTCATAGGACTACACGAGCCTGCACTTCATTTTGTACTGGCCTTCTCGGACGATCTTGAGCACCATTTCTGATGCCCCTGGGAGCAAAGTAGTTCCTCAGTTCTATATCTATACAGCCTTGGCTGTCCAAGGAACTACCCCCTTAGCCCCCTGTTTCTATCTCTGGTTTCCCCCTTATTATCCAGCTTGCTATTTAGTTTTATTGAAGTTTTTAAACCTGCTTGGATCTAGATTTACAAGCCAAGAAACCGACTGTGGTAAATTTTAAGTGTCTAGAACTCCCAGAGCTATTGGGCTTGGGATTTGAACCAAAGCCCCACTTTGTAACCACTATAGCCGCATTACAAGCTATATAAAATAATTCTTACAAAAGACGTTTGGAAACCCAAGATAAATAACTCAAAACCACATGTTCAGATTTCAATGGGTAGTTGAGTTGTTATAATACTCAACTACTAATAACCTCTGGTTTGATCCTGAGAAAAGTAGGCAATTTTTGATGGTTCAGAGTTGGATCCAGCTGTTCTTAACAATTGATCAGGATTTTATAATAAATGGGCCTGGTTTTAGAACATCTGGTTTCAGTCAGTAACAGATCTACATAAGGCATCTTGACTCAATTCTAAAATCAACCTTCACCGTTCACATATGCACAGCATGTGTCGTGGTCGGTTAATCACTTGCCACTTGCCATGTACTAGTCGGGGGATGCCGGGTGCCCCCTCAGCGAAGGCCGGCTGCTGATGTACCCGACGGTAAACAAGCCAGCAAGAGTAGTGGGTGTAGCGGCCCAATGTGACTGTTCACATAAAAGCGGCACCTGCCGTCTGTCAGGTGCACCAAGTGTACTAAGTTCAGTTGTTTGTAGTTATTTGTGTATTACTTTTGTTTATTCGTTCATTACTTATTAATTTAGTTCAAGAGCAGAATTAAATTAAATTGAATTTTTAATCAATTTTATTTTTATTTTGCTTTTTATTACATAACATTGAATTTAATTTTACTCAAATTCAAATTGAATAAAAAAAAATACCCCCGCTGCAGTAAACATGCAGACTAAGCGAATTTCCATTTGCCTGATTGGATTTACACTAAAAGGTCTCCTTAAAAATATCACATTTATTCCCTATTTAAATAACATTAGTTTAACGAGTACTTAGGTTTGCTGCAACAGGGAGGGTAAAAAGGTGTTTTTTGTAAAATGTTAATAGTTTAGTATGAAATGAATGCATTTCCCAAATTTGATCAAAATATGATCATAAACAAGCAAACTACAACAGTTTACTTGTTCTCCATAAGAATAACATGGGAATTTTAAATTTACAGTTTTTTGGAATTTTCTCCGTAACCATTAGGCGCATAATAACGCTTCAATATACTAAATTATTTGTTTTTTTAAGCTCTACAAAATGGTTTGGATAGAAAATGCTAAATTTTAATTTTTGCCCCATAAAACCCCCCATAAACTCCTGTTCCCATAGTCCGATCATGCTGGTTCGCGAACTCGTTCAAATAAACGTAGGTTTACACGTTTGTACCAAATTTCATCAAAATCTGATGAGTTATCGCGCTAACGGACACATATATAAATATATATATGAATTTGAACGGATGGTGTTTTTGGTCTCTAGGGACCTCAAAACGAAAAAGTAAATCGGTCCCGGGTCCAGGTCTTACCATAAGTACTACGGTAATAGCTTATTCCCTACATGGGAAATTCGCTAAAAATAATTGCAAATATAAACAGAATTTCAATCAAAGTAATTTCTAAGTTACATTGCTCTATTACGTTACATTTACATTATTATTATTATTTTTTTTTTATCACAAAATCTTACAACATTTTATAAACAAACTTGCTGCAAAAGCCATGAAAATTTACATACCTACGACACACAAGTTTCACAAGCTGGAGTACAACTGCCGGAGTGCCGGTGCCGGTTAGAAGTCGGGTTAACGGCATGCCAGGTAGATGTGAAACGAGCCTCACTTACTATATCTTCCAACTGTTCTTCATTACCTATTTATATATTTTACATCCAGCTCTCATTTCAAGACATCTTCTCGCACAAAAAGTGATACTCTTGGTAAGCTTGGTCTTCTGGGAAAAACTCTGGATCGTACAAAAGTTTCAGTATATAGACTGATTATCAATCGAAAGTACTTCTTAAACATTTACTATTTTATCTAACAATCCTTTCAACAAGTAATTTTTTTATTGGCTTCGACTAAAGGTATTGAAGAAATGGTTTTGTATGGCATTACATTGTATAGCTTTTACTTCATTTTGAAATTCATATTTATTTCTATTAAATTCTTTTTAAATTTTTACAATGTGTTCTTAGGTTCTCGAAGGACTGCATTATCTGCACACCAAGTGTGAAATAATTCATACAGACATTAAACCAGAAAACATTCTATTATGTGTGGACGACAGTTATGTTTATCGGATAGCGTCAGAGGCTGCTCATTGTTGGAAGAGGTTCGGAAGACTGCAAGGTGATGCCTAGATGTTTAAATTTAAATTTAGCCAATTTTAATTTACGTCAGACAAAGCAAAACTATACCTATACTGATTAATATTGCATGTTTTTAAAGTTTGGTCAAATTTACTAATCATGTTTTCAACAGCAGCTAATTTTGCTCATAAGGCCTGTTACAATTTACAATTTTGTTAACTAACCAGGATGTTAGAATGTTGTCTAAGCTGCTGTTTCTGGATATTCTATATTAGCGAATACAGTTTCAGATTATCTACCAATGGTGTAGCAATAGTTTTTGAGTAGGAAAACTTTTGGCTAGACCTTTTGGCTGGACTTTTGAAGAGACCATGAAGGTCGCAAAAAAAAAATTAAAGAACATATTGAGGATTGTATTCATCATAACACTACATCACTGTTATCTGAACATCTGTCTTGTAACTAAGGAATATAGGGCGTTGAGTTGCAATAATATCTACGACGAGAATATAATGCAAAATGTTCAACAATGTACTGCTCAAACTATCTAGATTTATTTATGTTGTACAAACTTTAGTCTTCAACTTAAGTCCATTTAAGTTTATGAATGTTTTCAGAGCTGAAAAATTTGAAACCATTTACTGAAATCGAGGTAGGCAGTTGTGGAACCGAGAGTGAAGACAATAGTGTTGCAGTAGCAGCTAGCAACGGAAATGGCAATGGTAACGACAGCACTGCGTCTGGCGGAGAAGGGACAGTCTTGCTGTCATCCAGCGCCAGCTCTGAGGCTTCTTCCTTGCCTTCCGATACTAAAGGTATCAGGAGTACTTATTGGAAGTTTAAATAGGAGCAGAAAGATCATCTGTCATAAATTTACTTTCCTGAATGAGTATCACATCACTATGATGAAATATCAGTGTTATTATGTGACCTTTTATTTGGTATCTATGTAAGCCCTTCGTCTCTAATTCTCTCAGGTAAGCTAGCTAAACTAAACCTCTTATAAAAAGTAAATGGTGTAAACAATGCACACAAAAGGGAAGCCTTACCCATAATGTTGTACAGGTTAAAAATGTTTTGACTTATTACATCATAAAATATTTTGGTCCCCCACTAAAACAATTTATTATTAAGATTTTTATTGACCAAACAAATATCTCTTGGCTTAACTTATGAGTTCAATCTTTGTAGGAGTATTTATCCAGTAAAATACTATGTTTTGATCAAAATCAGAGAAAGAGAAATTGAAAATAAAGTCTAGAAAAATCTAGAAACAAATAAGTAGGTCTTTGGGTTTCTTGGTAGTTGGATAGCTCCTTCCATTGTAAAGTCATCAAACGTTTACATAACCTTACACATTTATAGAATTTTGAAAGATACTAAATGAAAATATTATACATGTTATAGACTTATACAGTACCAGATGACTAGTGACAACCAAAATAAATACTTCTTATACTACTTTAAATTGTGTAGGAAAATTCCGCAGAGTTCAGTCCTGCCCTGATCATCAGGAACTTCGTAACGATTGCATGGATCCTGTTCACCATGTTTGTGACATCAGCGTAAAAATCGCAGACCTCGGAAACGCATGTTGGATTGTGAGTATATATATTTTAAAGAACTTTTTTGAGAACTTTACTTGTTGAATGAATTAATGGTTGAATTTTATCAATATATTATTTTCAGAGTCATCACTTTACCGAGGACATACAGACGAGGCAATATCGCAGCCTAGAAGTGCTGTTAGGCAGCGGCTATGGCCCCCCAGCAGACATATGGAGCACCGCCTGCATGGTATATATTTTGATTGATTTTTATGTAAAGAATCTTCAACCCTTGAACTCCAAAAACCAATATTTTGGAGACAAGACTGGCATACTTACCAATTTCCACTTAAAACTATACATATGGGCACATAGCTCAAACAAAAAATGAATTAAACCTTTAAATGACATGTGCTGCTGTGTTTGTATCATGATAGGAAATAGTTTTGTTCAACCTGTTAGGTTTAGTTAACTTCATTTTAATGTTATTTTATAGCAGGTTTTACATTTTTAAACATCCAAATAGAAGTTCCACGCATTTAAATATTATGTAAAATATCTTTCTTGTGTATTTTGTACTATAAATACTTTTTGGGTTTTATACATTAGTTGCGATAATGATGAGGAAATTCATCATTCCCTTTGGTTCAATTAAGTTGTTAATACAATGTGTACATTTTAGGCATTTGAACTTGCCACTGGGGACTTTCTATTTGAGCCCCATTCTGGCAATGGCTACAACCGAGACGAGGACCACTTAGCACATATCATCGAACTGCTCGGCCCCATACCTCTTCATATATTGAAGCAAGGGAAGAATTCTAAAGACTATTTTACTCCAGCAGGTAATCTGCAAGAGTGGTCCAGAATTTACTTTTTATTATTGAGGGGGAGAAGATACCCTACACACTGTACTGGGGGTCCAGAACCTGAATATGTCATCCTGTTTGCTTATTTTGACATTCCAATGCATATAATATTGTGTCCTTACAATTTTGGGCCTTCAGCCAACTCATAATTTGATGTGCTCATACTATCTATACATCCAAGGGTGCTGAGCGGCTTTAGTGCTTGTCTAGTAATCAGAAAGTTGCTGGTTTGATCCCAAGAGAAGTCAGAGTTAGGCCTATTTTAATAGTTTGAAAATGGTGTATCACATATTTATTCCATAAAATGAGAGCATTTACACCAAGGACAAAAGATTTACGCAAGCTCTTCCTCTAGCCTGCCAAACCTTTATTTATACCCTTGTTGCATTAATAGCAAATGACAACAGTTTGACTTATGTTTACCCCAGGAGAGCTGAAGAACATATCCAAATTGAAGCCATGGACTCTCAGTGAAGTTCTCATGGAGAAGTACGAGTGGCCACCTCACACAGCCAGAGCGTTCTCCGAGTTCCTAACTCCGATGCTTGAGTTTGACCCGGACTGTCGGTGGAGCGCAGCACAGTGCCTACAACATCCATGGCTTCAATCGTGACCACTCCCCACCCCCTCCATCAGTTTGATTGAACTTGCTTGGTTTTTCTGGAAGAACCGACCAAGTTTGTTTTTAGGGTTATTATGTGTATGTTAATGTAACAACTAAATTTTCCTGGATTTAAGCTGGCATTCAAAATGTGTTTTAGTCACACCAAACTCAAATATCCGTCATCAAAAGAATATAAATGGATCAGTGGCAACACTTTCTTTTAGTATTATTCAATTTATTTTCATTTAGATTTAGACATAAGCCATGGTAAAGTATATCTTTGGTCTTTGGCGAATCTACTGTTCAAAACAGAGAATTTTGTAACCACCCTGGATAGGATAATGTGACTTTGAATTCCACATTAGCAACAAACATTTTGCATAACTAATGTTCACTGTCTACTGAACGCTTGTTATTGCACTGGTACAACAAACACAAAGACCTAAAGCATAACTGGACAAGTACATGCTTGATTATAATATAACCAGTGTCTTGCAAAAACCATTAGATCAACTATATAAAATTACTTTCTGAAAAAATCTTTATATAGCTCAATAAACATTTGGTTTCATCCATTTTCTAAATCATATAAAATTACTAATGCTGCTTTAACCATTTGTCTGTAGTGTTTAAATACATAACAACAATTTTAGAGTAAAAATGGTCTTTTAAATGTACATAAAAATATTTCTTGTTGAGTAAAAAAATTTAGCAATAAAGGATATATTACCTTGTGAATATTACCAGGTAATTCAATTTGGTAGTCAGGAAGAGATGTTATAAAATATCCACAGTTTGTTCATGAATTCGAAGATGAAGCCATCCCAATTAAGCTTTGGAACCAAGTTAATTTAGCCTATTATGTATAAATGACAGTGATTAAGAAGCTTTGTCTCGGTGAAGGAACTTATTTTATCTAGATAGTAATTGACCATCTTCTCCTGAGTGTATGAAATAATAACTTTTCAACCATCAATGAAATTATTTTTCTGCAGATAATTTTACTTAACATACCAATGCAATAATGTGGTAATGCAATGTGCAGACTCAACTAGAATATACTATCTGAGTATAGTTATTCCGATTGTAAAAAACAGCTAATTATTTCACAGTGTTTATCATGTTATCTTTCACCCGATTAAAAAAATATACCTCAATCATTTTACCAGCCAAAATACAAGTTTTGGCTTTGTTTCCATAGATTGTAATACTGGCTATTCTAATTTGAAGATTGTAGTCCAGCTAGCGATGTTTTCTTCACAGAAGTAATTTTTGCAATGGTAGGGGTTGCAAGCCCTCCTCAGGTACACCTATGGTATTGGTGTTGTGAAAGTTGTGATTTTATGAATTGGTTTTGTCACTGACACATTTGTGTTCTGGTTTAGTAAATTTAACCACTTCGGGATCGTAAATCAAATATAGAATTTAAATTGATTTCAATATTTATTATTGATAAAAAATGACCACATCATGATGACATTTCATGTTTAGAAAAGCTGGTAAATAGCTTATATTGATTCAAACTAATAACTGTTATGGTGTATCCAAATGTATAATCTAGTCACATCAGTTTGTTAGATGATTTTAGTTTCTTCATGGAAGTAATAAATGTTAGTTTCTAAAGTTACTGTAAATGTCCATAAGTGTTAGTAAAAATATTATCACTAAAGAGAAGAAATTTAATTATGTTTAAGTGTTTGATAATAGTACACAAACCTGTTTTAGGATATGTTAATTAAGTTTAAACAATAATGATAAAAACGCATATTTCATCCATCTGTGACTAGTACGGTTCTCAAACGACAGTAAGCTCTTTTTGGTAACATTTTTATTAGTTATACTCAGACAATTGTACTTAATGTAAAGTAGTGTAGAACATAAATGTAGATATTATAGTAAAGTGTAATGCAGTTCACACAAAAGTGTAAACCAAAGATTTCAAACAAATAACTTCCTTCTGTATCATACTCGTCATGAGAACTATTGAGATGTACTCAAAACATAAGACTGATCAGAAATGAAAACCTCTGGTATTTGTAATTATTTATGTTACCGTACCATGTTTATACTTATTGAGGAACATGTAATCTGAACATATGATTCGTGGAAACAAATTACCTGCTCAACACGTGTTTTTGGATTGGAGATAATTTACTTATGTATATAAAGTAATTCCACTTGAAACGTGTTTCTTAAGCGACAACCCAAGGGCAGTTATACAAAATCAGCTGAAACTGGTAAATATTTCAAACAACCTTTTACTAAATCTTATAGAACCAATTCGATATTATTTTTACCATAGCAAACAAGAAAATTCCACCCCATCATAAGTATATATATATATATATATATATATTTTCTTTTTCCTAAATAGTCAGTTGTCTACACAAATAACAAGTTGTAAAATAAGTAATAAGCAAATCCAATGAAAGAGGAAAAAATTAAACACTTGTTGCATTTACATTTTACAGTTTATGCCTAACAGAAAGCCCTTGCCTTAAGTGGTATAAGTTTGGTGTCATAACAATAATATGTGCCCGGCATAATTTTTGTCAATTTATCATAATGAAAGGTTCACAAATATTGATTTATTTGTATTTTTTGTCTATCACAGTTGTAAAGGAATAACAAATTGAATAATGATGGAATATGTTTAAAGTGGAGAACTATGTCTTTGAAACAAGCTCATCTTAAGAGAGATGGGAATGTTTAGCTCAGAGCAAGTTGTTTAATGTGTTTTATATCTGCCATTGATATTATCAAACTGTAAAGTGATTATTTGAATATATCAAGTCATGTTTTACACACTGGTTTATACCAACAAGCTTTCTACAGACCTTATAATTAAAAATATTGTATAGTCTCTAAAATAAATAAAAAAATGTATTGTAATGTTTTTTTCTGTGATTTATTACCTTTTGAAATGTAAAAAAAATTGTATTTTATATTTCACATAAGCTATAGTTATTCGTTCAATTCTACTGGCATATTCCTAAGAGCAACGATCTGCACAGCATTATAATAAAAAAATGGTTTATTGTTCTCATTAGGCTATCTACAGATATTTGATATTGTAATACTTTAAGTCCCAACATGACCAATCCTCCACTTTACATAATATAAGTGAGCATAACTTGACAAAAACATCTGAAAGCTATAGGCCTACCTGAAGCTTCTTTATGACTCTGCTGAAGTTGGAGTTATTGTCACCCACAAAGTTTGCAAGACCAAAAACACCTGGTTTCCACTTGTGGAGGGAACAGTGTCGCTGACTTTATTTTTAGTTTTTAAGTTGTTTCCATTCAGCAACATTTAAGCAACTTAAGTGCTAACAATTACACAAGAAATGGATTCAGATGTACAATAACTATGTGCAGCGTTTGTTGTTTTGGTAGGGGTGTATGAGATGATGATGATGATGATGATGATGGTAGGGGTGTAATCGGTCAATTTGGTGGATTCGCATTCTTTTGGCAAAGTGTGAAAGTGAATGTGTGTAATCAAGCCTTATGTAGGATTACCAACTACTCCAAAGTGTGTATAATTATTTTTGATGATGGATTATTCAGACTTTGAAAACCTGCTTAATTTAGTAGTGCCATTGAAAGTAAATAGTTCACAAACCAAAATTCCCATGTAAGCTCTGGGGAGCAGGAGCAGTTGTCAACATTTTGCTGTTTCCTCTAAAAACACGAGGGGTTGACCCAGAAATCTATGTTGTTAATAAAACTTTATTGTCAACATTGTCAGAAACGTTTACAAGTTTACTCTCTGATAACGCTGCCGACATTTTATTTTAAAATTTTTTTCAAACGGACATTCCATTTTGATCACTGACAATATTGAAAGCAGGGTCAGTGACAGATTTTGGTCGGAATGGACACAAGGCTAAATATGGGACTCATGCTAAAACCTGTGAATTAAGCTTAGAACAACAATGCTTGGACTTTGTGTTTACTAGTGTTGTTAATGGGGTCTGATTGTGATCACTATGAGGTGGTCTAAGAGGTTTCCTTTTCTTAGAGACAGCATTGCAGGAAAAAGCTTTGAATCATGCGCATGCCTCTCTTAGCTTCTTTGTAGCAATTTGGATTTTCTATCAGAAGAAGAGGGAGGGAAAATCATGATAAAAACAGGCAAATAAATATTATATATGCCATAATATTTATGTCTGTGTGTGTGTGTGTGTGTACGTGAATACAATAACTCAAGCGATTGTGGTCTGATTTTGATTAAATTTGGTATGAACACACTTGAATGAGTTCGCAAACCACCAGTGGGAATGTTTTAAGGTATTCAAATCTTTCAAATGTCTTTCAAATAACAAGCCAGCTACAAAATTTTACAATATTCTCCTTAAGAATAACACGGGAATTTTAAATGAAGAATTTTTAGAATTTTCTCCGTAACAAATAACTGTACAAAAACACTTTGATATACTAAATTATTTGTTTATTTAAGCTCTTTAAAATGGTCTGGAGAAAAATTGAAAAATTTTGTGTTTTAGGGTAAAAAATTAGAAAAACCCATTTTACCCCCGTTAAGCCCCATCCCCATGGTCCGATCATGTTGGTTCACAAACTCATTCAAGTTTATCCCACCTTACAACTTCAAACAAAATTTTATCAAAATCGGACAAAAATTACTCAAGTTGTCGTGTTCACGGACATACACTTTATATATACAGAGTCTCCCACGTAAGGTGTCTCAAATTGATTACGTGAAAACGGCTTAACGTACAAGAATGAAATTAAATTATTTCCCACTAAGTCAACCCCAAGGAATAACATATTTAAATTTATTTTTAACATTTTTCCAATACGGAGTGTGCCAAAAACAGAGGGGTCACTAATTCAAATCTCGGAATTTTCAAATGTAAACATATGTCATGTTATACATCATTTTAAAGGTATTTATTAGACAAACATTTTGGCGAAAACAGAAATCAATTATCTTTTTCCGTTTCAAAATGGCGGCAGTTTTTTTTGGGAAAAATCAATATGTTTTTAATACATTGTGTTTCCTATACCAATACACTTAACCCTTCTCTAATTGAATTTTCTTACTCGTTGTGAAATTAGCTTTACTGTGATATGTTGCTAAAAACTCAAAACGATTAAAAGATACCAAATTACATGTGTGTACATTGCCGTGGGTAAGTCTTGCCTGTGGAAATGAAATGGAAGGGGATCGGGATCCCATAGTGTGACACATGCAAACCGTGAGCCTGCCTTGTCATGGCCACCTCCAAGTCCCTCTTTCTTATACGTTCAGTCAGGGCAAGCTTGCAAAATATTGTCCGTATTGCTGAGGGTCGGTGGTGGGAGGTAATTTTCATTTTGTTGCAGGTGTCTATGATATATGTGTTAGCCATTCCTATAGTTCCTTATCACCTTCATCCAAGAGATTGTCTTTGTCAGGAGGAATGTTCCTCCTCCTAATCTTCGATCCTAATCTATAAAATAGGCTCAACAATGATCAGGCTAATTTGAGTTTCTGGCATTATTTCTGGACAGAACGGCGCTTTTTGTAGCTCTGTAGTTGACATGTACACTTTGCTGTGTGTCTAGTTTTTTTTTATTATTGAATCTCCATGTGTGAGATAAGGTCATTGATAACGTGGCCATTTGCAAGAAACATATCGGCTGCAGACATTCATTGCCAGATGACTGATGTTTGTGGCCTTAATACAATGATAGAGGGTGAAGAGCATAATAGCGTTAAGGGTTAAGGAGTTCAAAAGTGGCTGTGAAAAGGTCCATTTTGCAAGAAATTGTGTTTTTGGTGGGTACCCAGACTTCTCACAGGAGATCACAAAGGAAAAGGGATCCCAGCCATTTTTACACTCCCTAACCCATTTCCGCACTTTACCTTCTATAATTGCATTAGGGCCATAAATTTCAGTCATCTGGTGATGAATGTCAGCATCTGATATGTTAAAAAACGTATCACTGACATTTCTCACATTCGTTAGATCCAATTAGTTTAAAAAATTGTCTAGAACACAACAAAGTGTTCACATCAGCTACAGAGCTGCAAATGCTGAAATTCTGTCCATAAATGATGCCAGTAAGCACGAGGAGCCTCATTGCGGTGTACATGTGAACTAAGAAGCTACAAACAGCACATACTTAAAAAACAACCCCCATGAATTACACTAAAATAAAAGTATACTTCTTCTTTATAATTACCAAATGCCTTATAACAGGGATCTCCAACCTACACACAGATTTGATCCGTCCCGCGAAGGCTTACTGGAAAATAATTATTTTTATATCGGCTAATTAGTATAAATCAATGATCGTCAAAGTAGCCACAACCCTTGTAAGTAAATATCGTCATTCACGATTGCGGCAACTCGGCGATACTAGTATCGTCACTCAAGGTTGCGGCAATAAGTGTAATACAACGTTGTGGTCTCAGCGATACCGTGATCGTCACTCATGGTTACGGAAATACAGGTAAGTATTAAATTAGGGTCTCAGTGATAACGTGATAGTCAGTCACGATCCCAGCAACACATTTGTGAGGATATTTTGCGGTCTCACCGATACCGTAATCGTGACTGCAATGTGAACATTTCTGGCGGTTCAGTAAAATTTATGTGATGATCTCCAGTGATCATTTTGTGATTTACTTATGATGTTAAAAGAGAAGCAATCAAACGCTGTCAATAAATTGAAACATGCTGGCTATTGGTGATCATTATAGTCCTTGGTCCATACCAAATTCAAGTACAATTCTCAGTGCCCAGGTTAGTGCTCAGTTCTGGATACCCAGGTACCCTGTTTTAATATGTGTGTAGTACACCTATCTCACACTTTCCACGTTTTTTAGAGAAAATTAGCTGTTAGTGATCAAGCTATCTTACATATCTTCCAAGCTAAGTGAACCTTTCAATTGAAAACAATCAACAAACTTTAACCCTGATTTGGCTGATCTTAAACCGACAAATACAAAATATTCCATAAAATCGCTATTAATTTTAGCTTACCTTTACACTCCTTGTAAACTCATTGTAAATTATTCTTATTGGCATTACAATTAAATGTTCAAGTAAAGAGTACAACAAAATTATTTGGCGTTGTGTCATCCTGTGTTTTCATCAAACTTTAAAAACTTTATAGAATAAATACTAATATGATTTTAAATATCTTACATACTAAAATACCCCCGCCGCAGCAAACCTGCAAACTAAGCAAATTTCCATTTGCCTGATTGGATTTACACTAAAATGTCTTCTTAAAAATGTCACATTTATTCCCTATTTAAATAACGTTAGTTTAACGAGTACATACTTAGGTTTGCTGCAACAGGGAGGGTAAAAAGGTGTTTTTTTTGTGAAATGTTAATATAGTTTAGTATGAAATGAATGCATTTTCCTAATTTGATCAAAATATGATCATAAACAAGCAAACAACAACAGTTTACTTATTCTCCATAAGAATAACATGGGAATTTTAAATTTACAGTTTTTTGGAATTTTCTCCATAACCATTAGGTGCATGATAACGCTTCAATAAACTATTTGTTTTTTTAAGCTCTACAAAATGGTTTGGAAAGAAAATGCTATATTTTATGTTTTTAGGGTCAAAAATGGGAAAAACCAATTTTTGCCTCATAAAACCCCCCATAAACCCCTGTTCCCATTATCCGATCATGCTGGTTTGCAAACTCGTTCGAATAAACGTAGGTTTTCCACGTTTGTACCAAATTTCATCAAAATCGGATGATTTTTGCTCGAGTTATCGCACTAACGGACACATATATAAATATATATTTATATGAATTTGAACGGATGGTGTTTTTGGTCTCTAGGGACCTCAAAACGAAAAAGTAAATCGGTCCCGGGTCCAGGTCTTACCATGAGTACTACG